CGCTCCTCCACCAGGTGACTGCTTCCACTTGGCCAGGCCAGGTGGAGAGGGACAATGTCAAATGCGGGCCAAAAGCAGGGCGACACACGTGCCCCTCTAATTGAAATGCAATGCGAGTGCTCCACACTGAGAAATACGGGCTCACGTATTTGGTAAGCATATACCCTTAGCCCAAGAGGCCTATGAACCTTGTAAACCCTATTTTGTTTTAACAATCAGAATCAGTACAATTGTTTCACAAGGTAGCTAAACCTTATTATCATTAGCTGACTTAATATTCTTTATCAAAAATAAAGTTACTATATTTAATTAATAAAGATCCTACGAGAAAGTTTAAGTAAAAGCAATCAGATTATTTTACATGAAGTAAGTGAATAGCTTAAATTACCCATTTCTGCATTTATTTTCCAAGTGAAGAAAACCGCATACATAGTACGTATGCTATTCAAGTGTAAACTGAAGTTCTCAGCTTTTCAGCCCAGCAGACGGAATACTCCGCAAGCCACACAGACAATGCTCAAATAATAATGCGATTAGATTTGACAAATCCAATTTCAATGATACTCGCTAGCACAACATTAATGAACTGCAAATATTTGGTCATGTCCTTCGTCCTTGCGACTCCTAAAAACCTTTCCAAGCCGCGTGGCACGTGGCCTGCGTTTCAATATTTGCATGTAAATTTAAGCTCGCCCAATCGAGTGCAACAAATCGCAGCTCAACAGCATATCATACTTTGCATATTAATGCCACCAGCAGAGAAGGATATTCCTGGCGAATGCTGAATCGCGGATGCTCAATGGCGATGTCGTCCTGGAGGGCAAAAGCACTCCACGGTGGATCCACCGCAGCGGATCGGAATGTCACAGCCACCAGCACGGTGGGAGAAATTTCCAATCAAGTCGCGATTAATTAACTGGTTGCCAACTTGAAGGTCAGTCCTTGATGGCTTTTCGTACAGGATTCACAGGAAGCAAAATAGAGACAGTCGGAAAACAACGAGATCTCTGGATTCGATACAAGCTCTAATATTCCACATATAACTTTTTCAAAAAGAGAAACCCTGTTCAACATGATGCATTTAATAATAAGGAAATCTTATGACAATGACCATATTTTTATCTATTTTTCAAAGTATTATTAAACTAATGTTTCCACTGTGAACCGCCAAGGGCAATCGCAAAGCGAATGGCAAAGTATCAGCTCCAGAGCAAATGCTGCAAATGAAAGAAGGAAAATTATTTGTTTTCCTCATTGAAAATCGAGCAGAGTCTGCTCTGCGAAAAAATAGTGCACTAGAAAAAATGAAAGAATAGCTGAATAAAATGTAAATGAAATTGTGTTGGGATTGGAAATGGTAATGATGGAGTGGGTAAACCCAAGATAGCGAATTGATTGGCGCAGATTCAAGGAGAGACGACGACTTTGCTAAAGTGAAATTTCAATGAGTTTGTGGCCCAGAGATTTTTAATCGCCCTCTGCTGGCAAAGCATAAAAAGCTAACCTAAACGATTTTTAAAAATTTCAACACTTATTAATGAAATGATATATAATAATATTACCCTGTTACTCAACCATATGCTAAGGGATACATTTTAAACTGTTCCAGACACCTTCTAGCATTTTTTCAGACTTTACTTTTGAGCTTTGGCTGTTGCCACTGGTGGCACTCAAATTGAGTGTCTCTTTGGACCCCCTTTAATGTTTTGACACATTATTTTCGCTTTGGCACTTCCCGAACGGTCCCCGGGCAGAGATCCGAGGATCCAGCAGATGGCGAGGTTGAAAGGCGCATTTAGGACCCATTACCATTAGAGGACACTTTGCTTTGCTCGAAATCGACCATAAGCTGGGCCTGGCATCCTTTGGCCAGGACATTTGCATGATTTTTGCAAGAGTAATAAACGTGGCTGGCGAAAAGATGGAAAAAAGCGGGAGGAAGGGCACTGACAATACTTAATGTCAGTCACGTAGCAGGGACAGGGACACTTTTGGTCCATTGACATGACCAGTTCTCCCGTTGGCCAGCTCCTTGCCGCTCCCCGTTCTTTGTGCTGCAGTCTCCGTTCTCCAGGATCCCCCTGGCAGTTGTCTGGGAGTCATCGACAAACTGCAGGAGCCGTGTCCTGGCATAACTGCCCTCCGTCGGATGGCTCAGTTAGTTGGCATGCAAAATGCTTTATCCCCGGCACTTCCACCTTTCCATTTTGTCATTGATTTGCAGTCATTCCTGCACGGTTCGAAAAAATCATCCTGATTTCGTAGAAGTCACAAGCTATTACGTACATAAGTATGTGGGAAATCTTTAATGCTGTTAAACTTCTAGATTCAATGTCATAAAATATTTGCAAAAAGGAAAGAACAACTACTGTACATTTTATTAAGTTTAAAAAATTTCTGTTTACTCACAAGGGAATTTCCTTACGAAAGGTTTTGAAAGAACGTACAACTTTCTTTAAATATTAAATCACTGACTGAAGAGATCTCATTGGTGCGCCAAGTTCGTTTTAATCACAAATTCATACAATATGAAAACATACTTTCTTCTCAAATAACAAAACCGATAACCTTGTATTTCAAGCAATTTCTTCCTCTAAAATCAAATTCAAGAGTACTTCCCTCACAATTTCAAGAATGTTCCTTCTCGAATAAGTAAGAAAGAACCAAACAAAGTCTTAAATTGAAAGCATTTGATCTTGGCAAGTTCGATTTAATCTCAAATTCATAAAATGAAGATGAAGTATTATTTGTTTGCGAATCTTCTTTCTTTAAAAAAAAAGAAATCGGTAACCAGATAATTGTATTTCCAGCAACCTGAGTCTCTAAAATCAAACCCGAGAGTACTGGCCTCTCAATTTCAAGAACGTTCCTTCTTAAATAAGTAAGGAAGAACAATACGAATTTTCAAATTTAAAGCATTTGATCTTGGCTGTTCATTCCTTTCTCTATTTTTATGGGTATGAGCCTTCTTCCAGTGTTTTTATTTGATGTTTTTTATCTCTTCCCCCGTGACGGCATCCGCAGCATAGACAAATGTAACACTGAAGTGGCATAAACACGGTTATCACTTAGCTGCCTTTTCAGTCCCATGTCGAACGTGTAATTCGATAAGCTTGGCTTAAAAAATGGCCATAGCTCCAATGAGTCGATACACTTTTAATAGTTTTTGCTGCAGCAGCCAGCGGAGGAGGAGGAAAAGTTCTTCAAAACTTTGCAGCTTCCATTGCAAACTTTTGCGCTCCGATAAACAACAACAAAAGGCCGGGGGAGCCGAAGAGGAAGTGCTCGATTCGAACCCGGAGCTGGAGTCAAAGGCAAAGTGTTGACAGCTTGATGCGACACACACACCCACACACACCCACGCAGGAACACATGGAATCACAGGATCTCGGAAGGACCCTGAACTTTGGACAGCTCGAATGCATTGTATGCAATGCAGTTTCCATTGGCTCAACTGCAGGCCAAGTTTTGCTTTTCAATTTCAAAATCCGACCCGAACAAAAACACACACACACACATATGGCAGTAAGAAGAGTGAAAACTTTCTAGCAACACAAAGGCAAGTCTTTTCAAAGTTATGTCCCACCCTCCTTGGGGTATTATTAGAAATTGAATTAGATTTCATTTGGCAGCAGGCAGAACAATCCCCGATCCACTTAAGGTGCAAAAAATTGCTTGGGTTGGTCCCTTCAATAAGTTGCAGTTCGCGTACCCTCTTCATTTCGAAAGAAAAAATGCGCTGCAATCACATCGAAAGTTTGCAATCAAAAAACTTTGCTTCCTGCTCAAAAAAATTTGCTTGCCGAAAAAATAACCTTAGCATTAAATAGACTACAAAGTTGTTTTTAGCCCTGATACCCCTGTGTTCCTTCGCCCTTTGCTAATCCTTTTAATTTTGAACTTCAACTTTCGCCGGCGAGCAGGGAAAATAAGATAGAAAATAAGCGAGTAGTAGTAGAACCAAACATGCGACGCACTCGGCGAAAGTTTTTTAATAACAAGTCCTGTGAAAGGACGAAGACGAGATCCATGGCAGTTATCAACCGAAGGGCAGCGGGAGGGGAATAAATTCCGCTCTGAACTGCACGTACATTGCATACATTTCCCGCTTTGGTCCGATGCCTTGACTTTTGTTGACCAAAAAACCCGAAAACTTTCAGCTTCCAATGGGCCCGGGGCGGTCGAGGAACTCATCTCATCCGGTAAAGTCCAGCCAGCGAAATGCAAATACAAGTTATAATAATTTCTTTTCAATTTCCAACCAACCAAAGCAAGCACTTAAGGGGATTTTCGTTACAGCGACGGACTTAGATGTGAAATGCAACTGGCCAGGACACGAAAATCGGGATGGGATTGGATGGTATGAAACGGTATGGTATGGTATGGAATGGTATGGGGGTGTATTTGTCATTTGGCCTCGTCACTTCTGTGATTGCGTTGAAATTTGCATAATTCCAAGTAAACAAGCAATTTCATTGGGAGGGGCAGGGGCTGCGATGGAAATTGGTAGCGGAATTCGGAATTAATAACTCTTTGCAGCTGAAATTGGATAGCATTTGGTACCTTGGCAGCCTCGATGCAAAGACAATTTCGCTGGAAGCGGAATTAGAAAAAACCTTAATCAAAGACCAAGGACAAAAGCCCATTAGGTGTACTTCAAAGAAAACTGGAACTTTGTTTTCTTTGATGTGTTTTTTTTCAAAATTTGAATTTCCGTAAAAGTGTGCCCTAATTCTTATTCAGAAGGTAGTGTGCTTTCTCAACACTAAGTTTTTTTACAGTATTAGAAAATGTGTGGCCAAATATTTACCATTTATATTTTGCACGTTCACTTAATTTATTTACGCATTAAATATATTTATTTAAATTTTGTTTTAGTTGTTTTCTCTTTAGTATAAATGTATAAAAACAAAAACTTTATTTTAATTAACACTGCCTGACAAAAAACTGCAAGTCTAACTTCTCTTTTAAATTGTCAAAGTGTACGACAGGAAAAAAAATAATCACAGTGGCCTGGAATTTTCTATCGAATTAAAACTTTGATTATTTTTCGTGCAGCAAAGTCGAAACACCTTGCAAAAAACACCGAATTCCACCATATCGCATTGATTTGCTAATTCTGTTCAAGGAGCGTTGAGAGCGGAAAGAAAGTAAGTTACCAACTTCCTGGCACTCGCCAAGTCGAACTCTGCTTTCCACCGGGAAAGTTTCGTTTCGGCAGCGATAAAAGTTGTCCCAATATACATATTTTTACCCAGGAGAGTGAAAATAAGTGGCACAATAAATTCGTTATTATGCTGCTACTTATGTCAGCTCACCTCGTTGCAGCGATATTTGTGTATTGCCGAGTCAAAAGTTATCGCCAGTCCAAACTGAACAGCAGGCCCCCATCCACATTCCCCGCAGAGTGAAAATGGGTGGCACATAAACGAAAGCTGCACCATGAGGCAATAATTTCCGACTGTTTTTGTGTGCCTGCCATGGTCTCAATTTAATTACTGGCCAGCAGTTAATATTGACAGTAGCCACAGCTCACCGTAAAAACCGTAAAACCGTTTCAGCTGAGCATAAACCCATGAGCCTGTCAATCGCAAAGGTCGGTGGCCATAGCCAGCACTCTTTATAGAGAACATATCGTGCCCCCTTTTGTAAACAACTTTACCTATAACCACAACAAACGAAAATGCGACATTTTAGCCCGCACCAGAAAAGCTGCAATAAAGGACATACTAAATTGGGTGTGCGAACATCAATTTAAGGATAACTATAAAGTTATTTTTAAATAAATATCCGTTGTTCGTATGGTAAAAAACATTGGGAACCTTTCAGAGAATACTCTCTTTGTTTTAAAATTGGTTTTTATTTTTAGACACTAATCACGAAAACCCTCTTCTTACATAAAGCGTTTAAATCTCTTTGGTAAAAAGGATCGGGACCTTTAAAGAATAGTCTTTTTCTTTGCTTATAAAAGTATATTATTTTTAGAAATTAGTCACGAAAATCCCTTTCTTATATACATCGTTTTTTGGTAGTTTCTATCCTTGCCAGAATTTAAATCTCTTTATACAGCTTTATGAAGCACAACCTGTCAGGCATTTTTAAACAGTCAAAACCCTTAAATCCTTCCGGCGAACAATGCCGCTGGCAATAGATGCTTATTTTATGGATGCCAAAGCCAAGACCAAAATCCCAATGCAATTTCACTCCTTCGGTTTGCCCTCCTTCGAGACTTGGCAACTTTTAATGGCCTCACTAATACATTTAAGACTCTGCATAAACACACACACAAACACACATAAAATGGAGAGCGGTACGAAGGATTCGAGTCCTGTATACAAATAATTACATGGCAAAATATTTACATTTCGGTTTTGGCTTATGCACCAAATAGGCCAACGCAGACAGTCGCCCAGAGGTGCTGAGGTTTCGGGTTTGGTCTCGGGTTTCGGGTTCGGTTTTCATTGGGTTTTTGCTGGGGCAGCAACTTTTTGGCCACTTCATATTTCATAAAAACATGCATTATGACTATTTTATGAAGCACGCGCCGAGAACTTTGGCAGTCCTGGATGCAGGACGCCCCTCGCCCAGGAGTCCTGTGTTTGCTAGGTATTTATTCGAGTTGCCCTGCTCCTGGTCCTGGTCGTGGCACAAAGCCCCATAAACCGACATGGTTGTGTGTCCGCCGTCCTTGTCCCGGCCTATCTGCTTTATGGCTCAGCGCTTCCAGTGCAGCGTGGCATCGTGGCCCAAACAAAGGAATCCCACATTCATGGCCTGTGGGGGTCACCATTTCATGTGGCCTAAATGGCTCACTTCGGAGCAACAAAATTTGGACGCACATGCTCGTAAATGTGCTCCGCAGAAGTGTAACTGACCTAGCCCAATGCAAATTAATAATTCGACCCCCCTTCGAGTGGCAGGCATCTCTTGGGGATCCTCAGCATCCTCAGCATCCTAAATATCCTGCAAGAGCACTGCACCTGACTGGCCGTGCACTCGAAATTTTGATTAGATTATCCTCCTGCTCAATATTCATCTCTCAAAGTGACGGGTACTGGCCAGATTCGAATTCCAGCCTGTTGAGTAATTAGTTGATTACCAGGCCATTCAATGAGCCGGCTAATTGAAAGGGTAAACTAAGCATTGCATCAAAGGCATACCAGCTGATTTCCGATATATAGTAGTAGCCTTCGTACTTCAAGTACAGGATAAGGTTTGTGCTTCACCTCAGAGGAAGCGGAAGCTTGAAAGGAAGAGGCATTTTCAATTAACTTGGCATCTTTTATAAAAACTGTTTGAGCTTTTTTCTAGATTTTTCTGCATTTGACTTTGTATTTTTAAATGCGGGCTTTAATCCTGTAAATGACATTCACATAAATTTATTAATATTAATTAAACGATTTATAAGCAAAAACTGGATTTTTTATTAAGCCTTTGCCATATAAATATTATAACATTTAAGTTTGATATTGATAGTGTAAGGTATGTGCAAGGGTATAATAATTTCGTTATTACACAAGCTTAATTTGCCCATGGTGTGCAAATATTTCATTGTCTGCAATAATAATGACATAAATGTAACTATTTTGATCCCCCCATTTTCTTGTTGGTAAAGGATTAATTTTGAACATTGCTGGTGAATATTGACCTCAGAGCACTAACCACACCTTGTGCCCAGATATAACAATTTCCATTTCTTGATTGGCATTTTCAATTAACTCTCATCTATCATTCAGAACCTGCCCCATCCCACCCGTTGCGTCATGTTCTTCCCAATGATTGACCACTTTTGGTGGAAGTTTATCAACTGTTTCGGCCTGGTTATGAAATTGGCCGAGGATTCGCGTGTAATTATGATGCTGGTCAGCTGCATTATGGCCGTGGCTTTTATCCTGAATATTCATTCCGGGAGAACTATCCTCCGGGATGTGGTTAATGCGATGGCCAACAGGAGGTTGAAAGCAAAGCTAGATCGTCAGCCATCGCCGATTAATATTGCAGAGAATCGGGTGACCATAAAGCAGTTGAAGCTGCCTCTAATGTGGAAGCATTACGAGGATCTACCGATGGCGACTGTCCTGGAGAATAATGGAAGTACCGTGATCCTGCGCATATACACTCCCCTAAACTTTCTGCCCTACCTGATTGGAGCTGACTTGACCGGTAAATACCATTTTGTAGAGGCCATCTTCAAGTGGGGCACCTTCCAATCCGAGCACTCAATTGGCAAGCATCAGTTCTGTCTGGAGATGCAGGCTCTGCACCGAAGTCCCCAGGAAAAAGGAGCCTATGAGTACCTCACCTTGTCCTATCTATTCGCCGTGAGCCGCGTCAAGAACGAATCACTCCAGGGGATCTGCGATAACCTCATGTCGATCCTGCACCCAGGATCTTCGATAGAACTGCCTCCCTTCGAATTGGGGTCTCTGCTTCGACCTTTTGCCGGAGGTCATTACACCTATCGCGGCACCTACGACAATGGAGATGTGATACTGCCCACCATCTGGATCATCAACTCAAAGATCTCCCATGTCAGTTCGCGTCAGTTGGCCCACTTTGGAGCTCTCTATCGTAGGGATGGCAGAAGGAACTCGAATAATTCCCGACAGGAACAGCCGCTGGGCAGTCGCCAGTTGTACTTTAATATATAAACAAGATTATAATAAATATAACAAGGAATATATATATATTTTCTTATGAATAATATAATAATTAATATTTTATTCTTTTATATCGCACAATACCTAAAACTTTAGTTCATTTTAAAAATTCCTTAAACGAATTAAGAATTTTCACCTGATTTGTTAAGTGCCATTACCAAGGTCCCCTACAAATTTATAAATGGTGTTATTTTTCAATCGTTATGAGAAAATCTAAAATTCGTCACGGAGACTGACAATAAAAGTGAACTCTGACGACGTGTTTGAAATGAGATCCCTGATTCCAAATTCACTACCTTTCAAAGTTTGTAACTGTAGGGCTAAAGCCATGCGACGTGCCTGGAAATGTGGTAAGTCCGAGTCCTCGAGGAGCAGTTGGGCATTTCAGTTCGTGATTCGCACCCCATGAGCAGTCAGTCAGTCTTCCAGCCTTTGACTCCGGATCCTGGCCAACTATTTGCCTATTTGACCAAATGTCTGCAGGTGCAACCAGGCAGATAGCCAAAGTGCAAAGAGCAAAATGCTAGCCAGGCACCAGGGAGTGACCTGGGGAATTTGTTCATTTCGTTCTGGGCAGAGGGAAAAGTCAGGAAAAAATCAGAGAAAATGCCTCGCAGCTGCAAATGCTAAAACAGTTGCGAAAATTGTCGAAATTAATTTTCAATAAACGCCCGCTGGCCAGCAAAAGGGGAATCGAATACTGATTGGCTAAAAGTTGCGCTGAAAATCGCTTTGAATGGGGGAAGAGCAGGGCAACCTGAACCTGAACGTTTTCCCCCAAAAGCGAATTGCTGAATTCCGGATTCGGTGATAGGGATCCAGGATCTGCTGGCAGGAAGGAAGGAAGTCGGGCATTCGCTTATTGACTTGCCCAGCATCACCCACATCCACCGCAAAAGGAGTCGACTGGGGGGCAGAATAGTTGGCTACTTCAAACGCGGCGCAAATTGTTCCTGGCTACGGAATTCCTTCGCACGAATTTCAAAAGGATTAGCTCGATGCCCAGAGGAGCCCAGAGGTCCAGGCGGCTAAGAAAATATATATATTTATTCCACCGTCAGACATTTTGAACTTGCAACTCCTATTACGATTTATTTCAGGCGTAAAACCAGCGAAGGAAATATTTGCGGCGAAAGTTTAAAATAATTGTTGATGTAACGAACCAAATAGAGGCGTTGCCGGGGGCGTGGCACAAAGTAAAACAATGGGCCCTAGCAAAAAGAGCGGTTCGGTAGCTAAAACTGGCAACTGAAAACTGAAACTGAGGCTAAAACAGGACAACCAAATAGTTTTCGCTTGGGAAATTGTTTCAACTTGCGACCAGTTTCGTTAGCATATATACACATAAATATGGACTGTTGTTTTTGAGTGGCCACAGTTACAGTCCAAATGGCAAATCTAACCCGAACAACCCATCTCTGCCGCTTAGCCGTCAGCAGTTTGCAAGTAAAACAATTAAAACAAGCTCCAAACAATTTCCATTTAGATGCGAATAACAAGTTGTACCTATGTATACTAGATGCAAAGGTCTAGACTGAAGCGATGAGTGCGAATTGAAGACAGGCATTGATTTGCCATCAATCAACAAAACATTTCAAAAACAAATAATTAAAAAAGTACAAGCACCAGAGTTTACTAGAAAATATAAACAATCAATTGTAGATTTTATATTGTTTGTTTTCGATAATTACCAATAATTCGCATGTGTCGACTGATTAATTAACAGATCACTAACTTGTGTTTCTGTTAACGAAAACCGGAGCAATGACGTATGGACAACCACCTGTTTTCATACCCTTGCTGAAGGTGCTATAGTTTTAGTCAGATGCTTTCATTTGGCGACAAATTTGATCAATTTTTTAGTTTAAAATAATTACAAATAATGTTAAATCTATACCAATTTTAAAATGTGAGCATCAAATTAAAAATATTAAATAAAGGACATTTATACTTCCTTTCTGATTTAATTATTAATGCTCTAATATCATATTATTTACATGAATATTACATTACTATTTTTTATTGACTTCATCTGGATTGGTTTGGTTTAGTTAATCACCAAAAATTTATGCATTTCATTTTTTTAGCTTTTGGTGTACTGATCCTAAACTGCAAATTGGGAGCACTTTTATACCGAAACCATCAGGGTATAATCTTAATAATTTCTTCCTTGAAGATTGCACAGGTTAAAGGATTGCGTTTTGTTTTTTTATTGCAGACTCTTCAAATATTATTAAATATGCAATTTTTCGTTTTGTACAATTGCAGACTTCTGAATATGGTTTTATCTTTACAGACTATGAAGTCCAGTGCCCTCTTAATATGCTCATTCAAAACCTTTATCATCTACAATCTAATAAGAGTCTTTTTGAAAGTTCGAAAAATTACAAAATACCATTTTTTTTACTAAGTAATGAAAACCAGATTCGTAAATTTTAATTTTTTATTTAAAAATCAAATTGGGTAAGCACATAGTCAAAGTCTTTCTCCAGTCCTAACCGGTGCGGATGTACTGGGTGTTGTCGGTCTGGATGAGCACGGTTCCGGCTGTAATATTATTTAATATTTTAATTCCATATTATATTTAAAAATTTTTTAATATAACACTTACGTTGGGGAACGGGCTCAGCATTGGCGAGGGCGGCGAACATGGCCAGGAGAACGGCAGCGGCTTGGAAGAACTTCATGTTGATTTTGGTGGTTTGTTGGTTGTATATTACCGTGGTAGTACTGAGATACTGATGCCTCCTCTGTGGATCGGGAGCACTTTTATAGCCAACAATCAGTCAGCGATCGGGGCAATTCCAACCTGGGGGATTGCACAGGTTAAAAGATCGGCTTAATCTCTTAACTCGTCAATCAGAGATTCGCTTGTTGTTGATGCAGTGCAGTTCATGTGAAGCGAGAACCTGTCTGGGTTTCTACGCAATTCAATCAATGCTGGTTATTGACATTCGAATATGTGCACACGTAGACGAACGACTATTAGAATAACTGGAACTGCGCGCCAACAGCGCAATATGCAATCCAGTTTAGTCTGTTTACAACCATACCCCTTATGCGGAGTTTCTCTTGAAAAAGGTAGTTAATTGTTTTTACTGACAATTTCTTGGTACTATAAAAATTAATTACTAAAACAATGGGGGACAAATATTATTTTGATCATGATTTTCCCAATATTTAATTCGCTTTCATTTAAAGCACGGTATTTTGAACGCTATTGTATCGTTGCGAAAGGTCAGTTTCTATAAATTTATACAAAAATGCTTTGTCTACTCCTAAGGTATTCCCCCATTTTCTGAATTTTTAAAAATCTATCATTATTAAGCTAGAATTCTCGTACAGTATTTGTACAATCACACTGAATATAGTATTGAAGCATAATAGTTTGTTAAAGAACTAATTTTTTTATTTATAAAAGAATAGAACAAAGATTTTTAACATTAAAATTTTTTAAAAATTGGGCTTATATAATTTAGTGATAAATTTATTTTATAAAAGTAATAAAAAAAATAAAATTTTTGTTTTTTTATTTATTGCAGTTTTATAATAATGCTCTTATTATTTTATTTTATATTAAATTAATACATATTTGTATATTTTAATAAAAAAATTTGGTGAAATAAATGTTTTGAATGAACAATTTAAATATCTCGAATATTAAAATAATATATTTAGATATATGTTTATAATGAACGAAAGTTTTTATAAAACTTTCAATTGTGATAAATGTTTTAAAGAAGTATATTTTGTGTAAAAATAATATGCACATTTGATATGATATATGAAGAATGACAAATACACAGTTGTTCCAAATCGATGTCAATTTACACCTTAGAACCTATATATTATTCTCATGGAGGGAGTGATTATTATTATTCTCGCATATCAGCTACACGCGCATTATCAGCTCAGATCGCGCTCAATTCCCGATTGTGACCCTGGGGGATTCCGATGCGCATTGGAAATTCCTGATTTCCAAGCCGCCAACTGGAAGTAACGCTCACTGCATCGGATCGAGCTATATAAGCTGCGCTCCCTCAGATCGCCAATCAAAGTAGAACTTGAATTCACTCTGTAAACATGAACTGTCTGAAGATCTGCGGCTTTGTCTTTGCCCTAATCGCTGCTTTGGCGACGGCAGAAGCTGGTAAGTTATAAAACAACAATCTTATCAAGGGGTTGTCACTTATCAAATTTTTTTCCATAGGGACCCAAGTCATTAATGCTGGCGGACACACACTGATTCAAACCGATCGCTCTCAGTATATACGCAAAAACTAAAATAAAACAGCAAAATTAAAAATAAAAAATAAAAACTATGTGAAAAAGAAAATTGTTTAATCATTGTCTTATGAAATTTGAAAAAGTGCGGGCACTTTGGCAAGAAGGGTCACATTGACAGAAAATACTAGAATTCGGGGGTGCTAGCAACTTTTCATTCCCTGGTGTGCACACATTGGAAATGATCTCAGCTGGATCAGCTGTTCGAACAAAACAAAAATATCTTTTAGTTTAAAAATCCGGCATTTCATATTATTTAGTAAATTTTAAGGAAATTAAATATAAATAAAGGTATGTCTTGTATTTGGCAACTTGGGAAATCAAAATGCAAACTGTATTTCTATAACGCAGGCCAAAAACATATACAAACACAGCTTTAAAGGCAGAATCAGGATTACCCCCTTGCGGATCCTTTATAGGATCCTTTGGACTCAATCCAAGGAAACCGAGATTAAGGAATCGATTCTTTAAGTATATATTAATTATATAGCTTAACGAAATGCAAATTGTGCGACAAAGTTTTTACAAATAAATGGAAATTTGTTTGAAGGGATCTCGTTCCTCCAAGTAAGGCTACATCTATAAAAGTTTGAGTATCTTCAAGAAGAATCAGTGTTTAAATATTTCATGTATTTATTTTTACCATAACTCGTTATTTAGTGTGGTATAAAGTTAAATCATAAATTAAAGCTAGCTGATTTTGGACCTCTACAACATTATTATTATTGCTTATTATATTGGCCTTGCTGATTCTTTTAGTCATCCTACGTAATATTTCTATTGTACTTATGTATATGGATTGTTTTTCCTTATATTTATTTTAGAGGATGGCTAAACTCCTATGTTTCCTTAAATCTAAGAATCGTTTGTAAATAGAAACCGGCCAATTTTCCTTAATATATACATTATTGTCTCTCTTAAATGGTGGTAGTTTACTAAAATATTTAAATAATATCCATAAGTTGCTGAATTTGTTTTTTCAATCTATTTAAAATACCCTTACCTCTTATATCAGCGCCTGGCGACCTGACTTTTGAGCCGGCGACGACTTCCTGGCTGCTGCATCTTATCGCCGGTCAATAAATGTACATAAATGCGCCCACGACAGGACAAATAGCAAAGAGCAAGGACTCGCAGCCACAGAAACAATAACAATAGTCAAGCCGCAGGACTCGACCACAACAAGCCACAATCGGCAATCATCAACACTGGCGCGCCGCAGACCGAGAAGGGGTCAGAGGTCAGAGAGAGGCGCTTTCTCGATTTCTGAGGGCGCCAGTTGCATTTTGACAACGGCAACGAACCAAAAACACCCGCGCACAAGCCATGACAGCTGTACGAGAGACCCACTCCCCGGGAGCCCGAATCGGCATCGGAATCGGAATCGGGCAAAAACTAAAGCTAAAGCCCCAGTTACAGCCACATCGGACGGCCAAGAATCTGCACGCCCTGCTGGATCTGCCCGCGGCGATGGAACTGCGCCAAATTGAGTTGATCTATCGGGCGGAGGGTAATGCAAATTTGGTGCTCGCCTTGCCGCAATTTAAAAAAGTTTTACGTTTGCCAAAAATGATATCCAGCAGACTGCGGCAGGCGAAGCAGCATGAGCCGGAGGATGAGGCTGCCCAGCCGGAAGGGCAACGCGAATCATCCGCCGATGCCGGGACTGAAAAAGGTTCGTATCTACACGCCGAAAAATAGGACCTACATTTTGTAATTCATAGAATAAGGAAAACTGTATAGCTTCTATAGTGCATTAGAAAACTGATGAATTTGTAATTTGTCGATTTCCTTGGTTCGTTAAAATAGGGATAACTGTGATAATATAGAGAAATGTCAATAATATCAATATTAGTTGTTTAACCATAAATCATCATTATTGCAACTATAAAAATCAAGTCATGTAGTTTGTTATGGTATAACATATCGGCCATACACCTAACATATCTGTTAAAATTGTAAATCAATATGCTGGTGCAAGCCCAATGTCTATCACAACTTATCGCTTCAAAAAGAGTTTGAAATACAAGTAATCTATACTTTTTCCAAGTGTTAGGACCAGCCTGTTATTGTTAGCTGGGCTGCCTTATATTTTCCTCCTCTTTTTTTGTTGGACAGGAAATGGTTGCGTGCAACTCCAAACACCCAGACAAGCTGCTGCTCCATCGCCCATCACCCAGCTCCCAGCCAATTTGAGTATTGTGCTTTGGTTATTGCCCGCTTGGCTGGATTTTGACCCACCATCAACCACCGCCCACTTCCTTTTCCCGTTGCCCGTTGCCCTTTGCCCTTTTGGGAATCTCTCTATCTCTGTGCATCTTTTGGCCATTGCATCAAATGTGTTTATTTCATTTATCCACATTTCTCTTATGTTGCTCCGTGCTGCTGCTGCTGGACCATCGCCTCCATCTCCATCTCCACCTCCATCTCAATCTCCAGCTGGCGACTTGACAATGCCGGATTTTATGGCTTATATCGGGATAATGCGCCGTCTATTAGGAAATGAGTTTGTCTGCGGAGCGGATATTGTTGCCATACCAAAGGAAGACGATAGATTCTGGATAAACGAGCACATACGCGACCAAAGACCGGGTAAGTGCACTGTGCGAAAGTAACTATCTTTATGTGGTAAAAACTTTATAATCTTATGCTTAATGGAACTATATTTAAGTTCTTCTATTATATATAATATAATCAGGAGCTCTTGATTTTGACTAGTAATACCAAAGAATGAATTCTATTCTAAAAAGTTTACTTGTATAGGTTTGTTTTAGGCAAGTCCATAATAATTCCCATGTGTTTCGATAAATGATACCTTAAACCTACCAGTTTAGGTTCCCATTATTTTAAATCGTCCTGTTTTTTATGTGCAGCTTTAGCTAGAATTTGCTAAACTGGAAAACTATTCACGTATAACGATTTTCCTCCGCTATTCAAGCGGATATCCACTGTAATACATATTTTGGTGTTGGCCCGTTGTGGTAGCGAATTTTGTATTTGATCAGCTTTTGCTGCAGTGCCTCCCTTTTGGCCATTGCAACCTGCAACCGCCACCGACGAGTCCTTCTTCCCCTCTTTTGTCCTGGCCGCCATCCAAAGCCTTTTAGAGCCACTGCAATCAATCATAAACGAGCGTTTTAGTGCTCCCTTCCACAACCGACGACCCACGTCCCAGGCCAGTCCCTTTCACTGACGTTTACGATGGAGAAGATCCTTTGCTCCAGTTTCAGTTTCCAGTTTTCAGTTTCAGTTGCTTTTTCAGTTGCAGTTCCGAGCGCACCAGCCCGTCCACATGGGACTGATTAGTGGCGGACGCCATAGTCGTGGCCATATATCAAAATCGGGCTTATGCCCGGCAGCCAGCAACAGGCTGTGGAGCTGCAGAACTGGCCAGCGATTTATCATTCACCTTCGCCGTCTAACCCACCGCCGGCGGCATCTATATATCAATAATCGCCGGATGCTGGCGCTTGCACTTTACATTCATTCCCCTACTATATCCTATGTATTTTCCCCGACTTTCCCGCTTTTCATTTCGTCTGTTTTTTTCTACAAACCGTTGCAGTTTCGCGTCTGGATAAGGAATTTGTGGGGCCATTCGGCCTGCTGCTGCCAGATGTGACCCAATTGCCTGCCACGTTCGATGTTTTACTTGCCAATTTACAGGTGAGTTGGTCGCCATCAGCTGCTCCAGCTCCCATCTACCAGCTTCCAGCTCCCTGCTCCCAGCTCCCTGCTCCTGGAAACCAAACGCTGAGGCTGCTATTTTGGCCGGAGTCGTGTTGCTGCTGTCCAAATAAATTGTGTATTTTGAACAAGGACAATATTGGCATTTTTGGCCATATGTGCTGGACACGTTAGCTAAAGCTGCCGCCGTTTCTGCTCCTGCTGCGGTTTAGTTTGCCTTTGTGCCGTGCCATCTACCCATATCCAAATTCGGAGCTAAACCCTGGCCAAGGCCCATAAATCAACGGTTCTTTGTTTTGAATTAAAGTGGGCAACAGTGTAAACACTTTGTTGGTGTTACTTGCAACCTTGCCCCATCCTAAAAACCGACATCCCACATCCAGTGGCCATTTCTATTCGTTTCGTTTCGGTTTGGACTTGTGCGGTTATAAAAGATGCCGAAATTGCTTTGAAAGTGCCGCCATAGCTGCAACTTTTATTATTTGCCCCATCTTCCCCACCACCCAGAAAATCGGACAGCCATGGGGTAGCTTAGCTAGTTGGAGGCACACGTGATGGGGGAATCCCACTCCTTAAAGGACTTCAGGGTACTGCGCGGTTCGATCATTTGCCGGCCGCCGTATTCCCTCTTCAAATTTTTTTTTGCAATTTTTTGGCTATTTGTTCGCCGTGCTCGGTGGGTACATATTGAATTTATGGCTTTGGTGCCAAAGCATTGACCGAAATAAAATTGCCGGCAAAGGAAACAAACAACCCGTGGAGCAGGGGCAGAAAACGAGTACATAGAAAGTGGTACACACATATGTATGGATGGATATACAACGTGGCCATAACTAACGCCATATTGTGTGTTCCATTGCGGGCGAAAAAATGGGCAAAAAAGGTAAGCGCTGGAAAAAAAAACCATTTAATTGCGGCTTTAAATGTTAATTTTCAATTTCAAGTTGGGAAGCGCGAATGGAGGACTCCGCCCATGCCGTGCCGGCCGTGGGCTCCATAACTCATCATACAATCAGCGCAACAACTTTTGTTTTATGTCACAGCAGCAACAACAACGGCAACAGGAGGAGGAGCACGAGCAGGAACAGGAGCAGGAGCAGCGATAACCTGTCCAAGGACCCCGATCCCAAACCATGCGAAACCATGGTAGCTTTATTCATGATGGTTTCTGTTTTTCCTGCTGCGCTCGTCGCTGCATTTTCAAGTCAAAATGGCATCAACGCCGGGGCAAAAGTTCGCGGTACACGGCAGGCATAATATTTCATGGCAGGACATGCCGGCACCTTCCTTTTACTCCATTTCCCCGGGATCGTGTTGGGGGGGATGGGAATCGGGGAATCCAGGGAATCCGGGGAGCAAGAAGGTGCAAGAGCAAATAAGCGAAACGATATAATTTTGCAGGCAAAGGGCAAAACAGGAGATGAAACTGGAGACGGAGGAGCAGCAGCAGGAACGAGGACTGGGAAGAGGAGCCATGTCCGTCGTCTGGGCGATACATATGCCATCGAAATAAAACCCAAACAAGGCTGGCTCCAGTTGGCAAGTGATGTCAACGATTTATTTGATTTAATGCCGGCAGGAGCAGAGACAAAGCCAAAGGAGGAGCCCCGCAATCAGGAGGAGCGGGAACCTTCACCCCGGGACAAGTGCTGGTGTCGCTTTTGCAGCATGCAGCTGCTGAAGGTGAGTGAGTGGGGCGATAACGAAGGTCATTTGGGTTTTTTTTTCTTGATTCACACTCACATTCACTCCCTTCGACAGCTACACAATGGGAAAATCAAACGTTTGGGCCACTACTGTCCGCTGGATCTATTCTCCGGGTATGTCATCGAACCCAGGACACCGTGCACCGTGCACTGTGCACTATACACCGACTGGTGTCCGGACAATGAACAGGGAACCGGAGCCGGAGGCCGCTCCTCTGGCACGAACATCGAGTCATAAATTTCAATCTGCTCCATTTGCGTGTCCTGTCGTGCTTCATAATTCCAACACTTTCGGTTACTGTTTGCCACTCCTTTTGCTTTAGTGTCGGATCTTTTTTTTGCTGTATTTTCTTTCTTTTGCTTTATTGTAAGGCTAAAATGCTAGGGACTGCTCCGGGTCCACTTCAATTGCAATCCCAGTCCTAGAGTTCCAGTCCTGGCCCCACTCATTCGTTTATTTGCGGCCCGCTGTTTCAAGTCAAGCGTGCATCCGTGCACAAAATTCAATTTGCTTGCGCTTTCATTCCGGTTTACCGCCTGCTCCGCATCCACCCTTCACCCGGTCCCCACTTTTTATGGCCGGTCGAAAATTGTTGCCAATTCTTTGGCCTTTGTTTCGGGTGCCAGCATCTTCCGTATACCCCATATGCATATACATCAGTTTTAATAGTAATATTCATAAGTACAGCACGTGACGAAACTGGACTTTTTATATGCATATCTCAGAACTATGAAAAAATGAATTTTTTCTCTATACATATTAGTAAGCGTCATTCCTCTTCGTTCTTCAATATACATATCTGCATATATACCCTTTAAAATACAAGTATTTATTTCCGAACTATGATAAATTGTACACAATCGACCGATATACCTTTTAAATCTAAGATCATATTATGAAATAATAATCTATAAATGTTGCATTTATTTAAATTATGATATGTATGATAACTTATTTTCATTCTCTAAACAGTAACTATACATTTTTAATTATGGTTCATCTTATGTTTTACTTTTTTTTTACATTTTGTTAGGATTCTGCCTTACTTTCTATGCCAATTGATATGAAATTTTCACCAATTAATGTATGCCTTATAATTATCATCTGCACTGTACAAGAAGCATGTCCGCTGATGTATTTTCACTGGTTCTTTTCTCTGCTTTTAGTGCACCCGGTCGTATGCTCGATGCCTTGGATGCACTTCTCGCCTGCCCGCAAAATAATTTACGTGTATTTCAGAACGGCAATTTAATTTATGGCGATCACGCGAATTCGATTTCCTTCGATGAATTGCACTCGCGTGTCTTTCCCGGGTAAGTCAGAGTTGCTTTTAAATAAATACGGCTTGGCTGTATAAAAAATGAAATAAAAATGTAAGCCGGTATCGCTTGGGATGAAAACTCACTTCGATTTTGATGATGGACAGAGAGAGATTTAAGAGCTTGGTTGGATATTAAAGAATTTAGGTTTTAAGTCCTATAGAACTTATTCCATTTATTTCCATGGCAACTCACTTTATGACATTTCAAACTGTCCGAACAGTTCGTATAATTACTTTCTCCTTGAGTCCTTCCTTCTCGGGCATAAATTTTCATGAGCAGAGGAAGGAAAATTCTCGACAATTTGGCCACACGCAAATATTCAATAAATAATGCAAGAAGCAACAGCCAAACACAAATTCTCGAGTGCCAAATGCCAACATGGCCATTTTCCCGGCTGCATCCTCTCTGTCCCGATCCCCGATACCCGATACCCGATCCACCTGGTTTTCAACTTTTTCTCAACCTCTGAAACAACCCACCCCACCTCCACCCCCGATGGCCATGTTTTTCCGTGGCTGTGTCGCTTCAACACCTTTTGGCACCACGTTGACAACGCCGACAACGACCACACGAAATGGGAATGCGCATTGAAAACGCTAACAAACAAAATTCAACCAATGCCAACGCCATCGCCATCGCACCGCCATGGCCATAAAATCTCTGAAATTCTCCAGTGAAATTATGGTGCTTATAAAACATTTGCTGGTGGCCTGCCTGCTCAGGGAATACAAGGTGAGATACACTGAAATAATAGGCATAATTTTGACTTAGAATTAATATTTATATGGTAAGAGACTATTTTCTTTAACTATTTATGAATTAAAATGCACAATTTGTAGAAGGTTGTTTTATATACTTTAAATACTCAAACATTTTAGAAAACTTCTCAAATTCGGAAATTAGACTCAACCCATTCTGAACCCAAAGTCCTTGAAGCAATCATTTTAGATAACTTCTTAAATTCAGAAAATATACCCAACCAAATTTGTACACAATACTCTGTTAAAAATTAGAAATGAATTTCTTTAGTAAAACTAGGAATATAATATTTTACAACCCATTTCCAATTGATTCTAAAATCCTTAAATTTTGTTGTATTACCTATTATTTAGTCATAGCATAAAAATAAACATAAAAATCTAATATCAATCACTTAAATTGTAACATGTTTAAAAAAATTGTAGCCTGAGTTGTGAATGGTTATCTAAAAGTGTTACTTACATTTTAAAAACTTTTCAAATTCAGAATATTTATTCCAACAAACAATAAATGATTTTATGGAAAACTACATACATATTTAAAAAAAGAATGTCCATTGGTTCAAGGTAATATAAATCGAAATGTAATATAAAAACTTTAAAAATATTGTTGTCTAAACTTTTTTTCCTTGAAAGAACATTGTCTTTATTTGTCTTAGCAAAAGAAACATAAAATCATTGACATGGCAATAGAAAGTTTACACTTTTTCGATTTTTTCCCCGTGCAGGACCCTGGATCCAACCGGGCAGAGAGCCCCAATCAGAGCCAAAAGCAGGAGCAGGAGCCCGAGCCGGAGCAGCTGAATCAGAGTCGCGTTTCAATTGCGGCAACGGAGACAAAAGCAGGAGCTGCTGGAATTGGCGCCGCTAATGTTGTCCTGCCGTTTCGGGGCGGGGCAGCCGCCTCTGTTGTCACTGCCGGTCAATCCGCGCCGAGGACAAGAGCAGCTGCTGCAACAGCCACGACCCAAAGGTACACAAAAGTGGCCAGAATGGAAACAACAACGTTCGCAGCAGCCACGTCGAGAAGCCAACTGTCCGGCACCGTGTTGGCAACAGCATCGGCAACGGCAATGGCAACTCGAACGGAAACAAAAACAAAAGCGGAACCGGAAACACAGGCGGCTCCTGGTACGAGTCGCAATGAGAATCAGAGCGAAAGCCCAAATCGGAATCAGAATCAGAATGAGCCTTCGAATCAAAGTGAAACTCAAACTCAAGCACAAATCAACAAAGCGGAAATATTTCGCTTACCAAAAAATTGTGTGTTGCAAAAAATTTTGAATTTGCAATTGCAGGTAAAGGTAAGCGAGCCAATCAAACCACTTCCCAGAAAGTAGACCTCTGTCCGGCTGGATTTGTTTATTTTTCCTGCTCCTCCCCGGAGAACCTTGGCAATTGCAGATAGTTCGAGTTGGTTTTTTATACCCTAGCGGGGCATATTGCCATTTTGTGGACCAGTTGGCTTGGCCAACCCTATTAGCTATATTAGTTCTTAGAAAGACTCTGTGAACTACTCTTTTGCAAACTTTTCTCTAAAGCACATTTATACATTTGCCCTTTCTCACTATAAGTTTGACTTATAAATTAGTGTGCTGGCCATAATAACATTACAATATTTAAAAAACAAATATAGATATTTATCAATATAAGATACAAAAGAAAAAATATTTTTTTACAAATGAAGACAAAAGTTATACGAAAACAATGATCTTTAAAGAGGACAATAGATACAAACAAAATTTTGGTAGAACTGAGGAATATAATGCCCAACCTATTAAAGTTGTAAGTTTAACCAACGAAATAGTTACTCTTACAACAACGAAATACAAAGAAATAAAAGCTTTGCAATAGTTTAATACAATAGTAAGAAGTAAAAAATAGTAACCAAAGAAACAATAATTAATAGTTGGTAACATTTTTTTACAGTTACCTAACTATCTGTATTGATTAATTTTACCGATACAATGTTTTTGTGTATACAAATTGATTTAATAGCCTGCCTGCTTTTAAAAATAACTAGAAACGCTGTTATTATTTGATAAAACATCTTATACACATCTGCTAGCAAGAGTATTTAGTATTCAACTCCACAGAGTGGAACTTCCTTCGTTGTTTTTTCTCGAACAGCTCAGGTGGGCAGGGAGTTGCAAGTTTATTCGAAGAGGCGGCTAAATGGGCAATGGATGGCGGCCAAGTGGCTTTGTGCAGTCGGAGTAACATTTCTTGGCCATTGCAGCGCCACTTCGACTTCATGTGGCAATCCGGCTACTCCGACCACTCCCAGCCCACTTACAATTCGCTCCGGGGACTGCTGGCCTCCGCCGAGGAGAGAAATGAGGTGGAATTCGAGCCGGATGAGGAGCAGGCTTATATGGTAGGAGCCACCGCCCTGGACTGCTCGATTATGTTGACGTTTCAGGAAATCGAAATCAAATGCGAAACCGATTGCCCAGCTGGCCAGAGGTAAGTATTATCCACACAATGCCGCCACCCCTGGCCTGCTCCATCCTGCTAATCGAATTCCCAATCTTTTCCAGCGATGCAATACTAGCACTGCAGCCCTGGTGCGTCTCCCTGCTGGGTCATCACTTTCTAACCAAGCTGTGTGTCCTCGATTTGGATCCCAAGCCCGACAGTCACTTTCATAAATTCATGGCGCAGACACGTGAAATTGAAAAGTGCCGTCGAGCATTAAATTAATTAATAAACTTTATACCCAACTAAAAGCCGCACGCATCGACTGCGGAGCTCAGAAAACTGTGCTACACTTTCATCCTCAATATGAATTTAGTTGCTCTTTTTTTTTGCGCTGCAGCTTTTTGAGCTGTTTTTATACCCGTCTGTTAAGTACCACAAGGGTATGTTGAATTCGTGTGAGTCCTTGTAACTAGTTACAAGAAGGCGAATGGTTGGGCTATCAAGCGCTCAAAGTGTCAGACATTCTGGCTAAGACTCTGCCATGTTGCTGGTTTAAATCTGCTTAATTGGCCGGAAGCGAAGCTAATCCGAGGTTTAACTGATGTCTGCTGAGATTTTAACTTAATAAGTGCGAAATCTAGATTTGGGGTATTAAATGTTAGTCTTTGAAGGGAATATTTGGACTAAGATATCAGGATACGATAAAATACCTTAAGTGGTTTAGATTATTAAAAACAGAACATTTACATAAATGAATTGTATACATTAATGTAAAAGAAACTGAAGATGATAAAAAAAAATTGATATTATTCGAAACAATAATAATAATAAAAAGGTCAGATAAGATCTTATTAAGGTGACGAACTAATTACCATTTTGAATATGAGGTACCTTTTATTCGGCAGATCCTCAGAGCTATGCTCAGTTTTTCCATATTTTTCTAGTTACTTTGTTGGGCCGCACCTCTAAAAACGTTTTTTGCCGCAGCTTGACAGCGAAAAAGGCAGCAGGGGCGAATAAACCACAGGATACACGGCGATGTCCTGCGAAAGCTACGATGCGAGGGTATAGTTATGGGGCAGATGGGGGACTAGGACTAGGGTGTGGGAGTGGAATTGGCGGTCCTGAACACTCCTTAATTAATTTCCATGCGAATGCGGCCGCCATACGTTGGCCAGGCGCCGCAGGATGTGTCCGGAGCGACGGAACCGTGGAGCTATGCAAAGTTATGGCGCTGGGAGTTGGCCCACAGTCGGCTACAGTGTCAGTTGCCATTCACGCTTGCGACTAACCAGTTTGGCCGGCAGCAACGCGAAAAAACCAAGCCAAAACCAACCAAACCAAACCAAACCGAAACGAAGCGAAGGGAACCGAAAGGACTGGCCAGAAACGATGGGCAACAAAGTTGTGACATTTACGGAACAGGAACTGGATGACTACCAGGTGAGCAATCAATCAGTTAAAACGACCCCAAAGCTAATTCACTTTCATGTATTGCCATTGCTGCTGCTCCGCAAATCGGAAAGGATTGCACGTTCTTCACGCGCAAGGAGATCCTGCGGTAGGCCATTTGTATTCCCCTAATAAGCCAAAACTATTCCATTTCATATGGCGGCAGACAAAGCCGCAGAACACCGCCTGCTGCCATTGTTCGCTGCATCCCATTGTTTGCCCCTCGGCGGCAACAAAAAGCGGGTGGCAGAAGAAAGTACCCACACGACAGACTCTCGAAAACACAAAGCCCTTCATCTCTGGGCCCTTTCACCCCGCTATCACATCACTTTCTATACCCTTTCAGAGGAGATTACCCCCTTTGGGCGGTATCCACATTATAGATCATCGTTCTGAAGCCTTCTAGGCTTTCTATCCATCCAGCTGGTTTAGGCACGAAAGATCGTTAGAGGTTAAAGTTGTTTAAAATTATACATATAAACATGGAACAGGGAGGTATACCTATAAGTATGAAATCAATTATATCTCATATACCTCGATATTATCATTCAATGGGTCATATGATGTATTTCGTATAGTTAAAAAAAAGGTATACCCCCTATAAGGATGATATTAATACAGTAATTGCTATATCTTGTTACTAACTTTTCTTGGTTCAAATTATATATACATTAGGTATAACAAAAGGAAAGGTATATCTTCTATAATAGTGGTATCAAATTCTTAACTCATATAACATGATATATGCTTTTCGTGGTTCAAAATGTGTTATTTAGTTACTAAAGGGAAGATTCATTTTCTTTTATAAGTACATAGTTTGAGTTTTAAGTCTTGTTTTGAGCAACGTCAAGGGTATTCCCAACTTCGGTCTCCGGATAAGCACTATATCCACGAATGTTTTTTCTATACGTTACAGCGTTCATAAACGATTTCGGGAATTGCGCCCGGACTTGGTACCCCGCCAAATGACGGAAGGTCAGGCCTCTAGTGTTAAGGTTCCCTGCGAGTGCATTGAGAAGATGCCCGAGTTGCGTGAGAATCCCTTTCGCCGGCGAATTTGTGCGTAACAAAAGACCAATGGCTGCATAACCAAAGCAAAGCCAAGGGCCGTCCCTCGAACAGACTATAGCAATTTTCCTTTTTTACAGGCGAGGCCTTCTCACGCGATGGCCTGGGCAATTTATCCTTTGAGGACTTTCTGGACGCCCTCTCCGTTTTCAGCGAGCAGGCGCCGAGGGACATTAAAGTTTTCTACGCTTTCAAAATTTATGGTAAGTTCCGGTTACTCCTTGTTTCAGTTCTTGTGGCTAGTGGTGGGAAATTATAATATTTTAGTATACCAAGAAACATGTAAGTTAGGGTTTTTCATTCTTAACATATCGAAAAATTAAAGTTGTTTCATTTTGTTTTGCAATAATGTAGTAAACAATAAAATAAACATTAGTTGTCCCAAAAGCTTATAACATATGTTTTAGGGAGTTAAGTAAGGAATTTTCCAGAAACCAGTATAATAGTAAATAGTTCCCAACTCATGGAATTGTCAAATAAACAATAACAGGTAGTTACTCTCACTACAATTTACAAACGCGTTACTGTTTTGTTGTAGTATTACTATTAAATAGAAACCGAAGTAACAAAAACGTTAAATTTTACTATTTTTAATAGTAGAAAACTTATTTGTATAGTTAAATGCTTATTCATATCGGTCAACTTAACCAATACAATTTTGTTGTGTGTATTAAAGAGTATGGGATAGTTTAATAAATGCATTCGCCGCTAAAGTATTGAGTATGTCATTTTTTAAACATACAACAAAACTTAATGAAAACTTTTAATACTTTACAAGGTGTTAAATAGGTTTTGAAAATATCTTTTCTGGCCTTTCAGGTTGCCACCACTAGATATGGAAAAGACCAGCTTGCAACTCCATCTTCATTTGCAGCTCCAGCTGCTGGCCAGCATTTTGAGGCTTTGTTTATGCATTTCCGCAGCCCGTGTTTATTGTCTTTGGCGTTGTTGGCCTCGTTGCGTGAGTGTGTGTGCTGGTCCTCTTTGCATTTGGCCTTTACAGGGGCGGAGAACGGGGAAAAAGGGGGCCAGAGGAGCATGCGGAATATGTCCCTGGCCGCCAAACGTGGCATACAAATCGTGGGGACTCGCACTCGCGGCTCGGCAATTTGTGGCGCCGTTCCAGGCTACTATTGTTGTTATGCGCCCGGCTGCAGGACCAAAGTTCAAGGACAGCCATAAATTCTAATAAGCATTTTAATTGAAATTTAAATTAGAATCTCGAAAAATGCCACCATAAATGTGGGGCAAAAGTTTGCGTGCAAATTGATTGTGCAGTTGGCACTCGAAATTAATGGGCCAAAGTCCACAATCAATGGGACGCAAAGTATCTCTCAGGTCGAGTGCAACTGGAATTTTTGCTAAACTAGTTTCGAAAGTCGAGCGCTGGAGGGGCGGCTACACTTTATTTCAATGTGCATTATTAGATTGACACAAATTGCAACGTGCAGCAGGCGATTACCTGTGCGGCAGAAGGACGCTGCTAGGCAAACTCAGTTTGGCACACATCACTTGACTTTTGTGCAAGAAAATGTCAAGTTCTGTAAGCCAGCCGTCTCCGCCCAGCACATCCTATATATATAGTATAACCACCCACATACCCCCAGCACTTGTGTGTTCTTATGTCTGGCATAACTTCTGCAGATTTCGACCAGGACGGCTTCATCGGGCACGCCGACCTCATGTCCTGCCTGACAACAATGACCAAGAACGAGCTGAGTCCGGAGGAGCACCAGCAGATTGCCGACAAGGTAATCGAGGAGGCCGACGTCGATGGTGATGGCAAGTTATCAATTTTGGAGTTCGAGCACGTTATACTCCGGGCCCCCGACTTCCTCTCCACCTTCCACATCAGAATATAAAATTGTCGTTTGAACGAAGTACACAGTGGGAAAATAGGAGATCTTATTAGAACTTTATCTCTACTTACAATTGAAATAAAATGGAAATGGTTTAAAGATGTTTACTTGTCTTTCACTACGTTTTCAATTCATTTACCAATATTGATATTGCAAAAGTATCTTTAAGTTTTCTATTTAATATCAGTACTATTTCTCATGTTACCTATTTATTATAGTAATAAAATGGATATGGTTTAAGGATGTGTAGCTATCTTTCACCACGTTTTGTATTTTAATTCCACTAACATTTTTTTCTTATGTTACCTATCTATTATAGTAATGAAGTAAAAATGGATCAAAGATATTTAGCTATCTTTCAGCGTGTTTTTTGTTTTAGTTCAATTACCAAAGACATCTTTATAGGCTTCAGGATTTTCTATTGAAATGATATATTTAAAGTTGATGTTTTTTCTCATTATAGGATTAAAATTTTAATATGATAAGAATGTTAAGTTATACTTTACGAAGTTTTCTTTTTAAATTCGCTTACAAAAGACTGTTATATCACATAGTTCGTTTAAACTGTTTATGAACTTTTATTTTGCATATCCCTATGGGGAATATGATGTTCCAGTTTTCCCAGTGCCTATCCTATTTTATTAAATTGTTTATGTGTGCTTTTGCCCCGAATATACATAGCCGAACAGATAGCATAAAAGTGCCATCAGTGTGATTAAGCTGCCTGCCCGGCTGCAGGCTCCGTTGTGGGTTTAGGTTTGGATTCCCGGCTCCGGAGTCCGGACTTCGGTTCTGGTTACGGGTGCTGCAGGCTCCACGGGCCAATTGTCGTGACAATGTGCATGTCAAATGTCAGGGAGCATTATAAAATTTATATGCCCATGCATGCAGTCGGGTCGAATTCGAACTACAGTCCTGCCCTTTTTTGACCCCAATCAGACGGGGAGTCACGGCCAATGGAAATCGTACTGCCCCCAGGCCACACCCTCTCGTAAACCAGGCTCTTATCAACGTGGGCGTGTGTATGTGCGCACTGTCAAAGTTTTATCAATTTTGCCAATTTTCAGCTTAAACTTGTTTGACATTTGAGCATCTGTGTGTCGTTCCAATCCCATTCAATTATTGTAATTGCATCTGCAAGGGGTTTTGGAAGCAGGGGGCAAAGGGCAGAAGGGGACGAATTGTGGCAAGTGGACACTCGTTGGACCATTCTTGAGTTATGAAAAAATATGCAAGCCCCACACTCGGTTGTTGACAATCATGCAATATAGTTATGTAATAAACACAATCAAGAAGAGACAACAAAAATATTAAATATTTCCGTATTTATTCTGTTTATGAGCATCAAGCATAAAAATATATATGCTAATATTCAAACTTCTGGGCTTGGCTTAAATTTTCAATTAAGAACGTAGTCCAAATCGAATTTGTCTCTATAAAATAAAATGATCTAAATACTCCCTAGCTATGCACAAGAATGGAACGTAGAAGTCTGATCCAATATTTTTTAAAAGTAGATAGATAGATAGTTATATAGCCAATAAAGATCCCAAGCTTCGTTTTTGAAAAGAAGATACTTTCGGAGGTCAGTCGAACTCAGTGTATTGATTCCTTTTCAGATCAAAGTTTAGTTTTACTAAGTTTCGTTATACAAAGTTTCGTTTGTTGCTTTTCATGTCGTTAGACTTAGTCCCACCACTAGTATTTCAGTTAGTTAACAACATTTTTTGTCGACAGCTATCTGAAATCAATTAACCACTTCATCGGAGCACGCAGTCCGTGCCACTTGATGAACTAGTTTTTATTAGACCTCCATGCTTTTGGTATGCAAATCACGTTCAGTTTTTAATTTAGTTTACTATTTAATAATACGCATAATTACATACATAGTAATTGTTTTTCGTTTTTTGTTTTTAAGCTTAAACGATACAAGAAAGTCTATTACAAGTATGCCATGCGATTGCATGCATGCATTGTAATTTTATAATTTTCAAATGGTAATCGTAATAGTAATCCATTGGATGCGTGCACTCTGAAACGGTTTTGGGCTTTTGAGAATAGTTTCATAGTTAACCTAGGACCTAGGTTCGAATAAATCGTTAGTGCCTTTTCAAGCTTCGTTTCTCGCATATATGGTTTCCATTAATTTTAGTCTTTTAAGTTTAATCTTAGAAATCAGGAAACAAATAATGCAAGCACATAAATTGTGCAATGCCCAAAACATAGGTTTTGGATATCTTATATCGCTTCGCTGCCGTAGTTTCGCAGTTTGAATCCCCAACGGTTATTCCGTCGCATATGGGCTTTTCACCAAACCACGTCCTGCATCCTGCATCCCACAGAACTCGAAATCCGAAAAGCTTTCGATGCTTTTCAACAAATTTCAGTAGACCGAATTGTGGTGTTCGTACTGAATATATTAAGAAGTTGAATACAAACTTTCATACTTTTCCATTTAATTCAGTCATTTTTACTTTTTATCTGCATATAACTTGTTATATTCTTTTTTAAGGCTATTTCAATTGAACCATGCGATCCCTCCACAAGTTTAATAATAATAAATTACTCACATTCATTTAATACGGTTGAACACCCTTATTCATTTAACAAAAACAGTATTACACAACACTTAATTTCATATTTAGTTATAACTGTGATGTCGTCACACTTTTGATATCTTGTTTTTTCCTTATCCATTGTATCTGCCTTGAGGGGTAACGACGAAAAGAGCACTTGAAATTAAATATGAAAACTTGATCGAAGTGTAATCTGGTTGTGCGGGAGTTTGGGATTCGGTTTGCAGCAGCTTCTGTATTTGTTCATGTGCAATGATTGCGCAATATTTATTGAATTAATTTTATTAAAATTATTCGAAAATTGTATTATAAAATAATCTTCCTTTGGTTTTAAAATCACATGATCATGGGGAAGTGTTGGCAACCGTATGGATGCCACCATCCGGGAAATGCTTGAAGTCGTCAACGTCGAATGCGAAAGGCGTTTATGGCTGTTCGTCTGTGAGGGTCGAACGGACCCCGGTAATATCCCGGGGCCCTTTGTGTTGGGACCCCGGTTTCCCTATAAATAATTATTAACATACAACAAACTAACATGTTAACCATATGGCTGCGACTATACTGATATCTGCTGATCATTATCGTTCCTCCCCCGCCATATTACATGGTCTCTCCCAAAATTGGGTCATTGGATACATGAGTGCCATTTAAGGTACTCTCAGAGCGAACCGGGATTAATCCTTAAATGACCAGATTCGCCCGCCAGATTCATCCCGCTGCTGCAACTATCGCCCTTTCGATAGAGACCCTCCCATTATCGACTCCAATTGCAACACATTCCATGAACGGAATTGGTTTAGGTCCCATAGAAATGGGATCTCTCTAACGTTCATTAATTTTTACGCAGTTTATTACGTTTTCGTTAGAAATTAAGGCTAAAAAGTAACCCCATTGGGCGAATATACCCAGGATCTGGTCTAACCTACGTCCAGTTGAATAGCTTCCATTGACGTTTTGCACCACAAAATCGTTCGCCACTTGATGAACCAGTTTAGACCTCCATGCTTCTGGTATGCAAATCACGTTCAGTTTTTAATTTAGTTTACTATTTAATAATACGCATAATTACATACATAGTAATTGTTTTTAGTTTTTTGTTTTAGTTGGATTTAAATTTAGGCTTAAACGATACAAGAAAGTCTATTACAAGTATGCCATAATAGTATGCATGTATATATGTTGGTATTTGTATTTGTATTTGTATAATTTGTAATTGGTAATCGTAAAAGTAATCCATTGGATGCGTGCACTCTGAAACGGATTTGGGTTTTTGAGGCTTGAGCTGCGTTAGTTTGGTGTCACTTTGCTATAGTTGGGGCTGCTCGTTTGCTATTCTATGGGTTGTGGTTGTATCGTATGGTTAGATCAAGTGATAGCAACGGAACGGAAGTATACTGTCTATACACAAAAACAACAACACTTACATGAGAATAGATCTACTTACATACACTCCTAGGCATAATTATGCTTAAGTACGAACTAAGCGCGAATTCCTTTGAATCGCCTTGCCAAAAATTATTGTGATGCCCTCGAGGATACTTTTCACTATATATATCCTCGCCTGCAATCGATCTAGTTTATACAGTTTTCGTATACGGCAAATCATTACGTCTAGTGTGTCTACATATTCATGCGGGAATAGTTTCATAGTTGGCTTAGGAGCTAGGTTCGAATAAATCGTTAGTGCCTTCTCAAGCTTCGTTTCTCGTATACATGGTTTACATTCATTATAGTCTTTTAAGTTTAATCTTGGAAATCAGGAAACAAATAATGCAAACACATAAATTGTACAATGCCCTAAGCCTAGGTTTTGGTTATCTTATAACGCTTCGCTGCCGCAGTTTTGCAGTTTGAATCCCCAACGGTCTTTCCGTCGACTGTGAGCTTTTCACCACACCACATCCTGCATCCTACATCCTAGTTCATGTCGGGAGCTCCGCTGGAGAACCCGTAATCCGAAAAGCTTTCGAAGCTTTTCAACAAATTTCAGTAGACCGAATTGTGGTGTTCGTAGTTGTTGTGGGCGGCATGGGCGTGCAGGTAGGAGGGGATCGCTGTGGCATTTAGTTCCGACGCCCGCCGCCGCAGCGCTGCGATGCTGTGTCCCCGCCACACATCGTCGTCGGTGGCGCCATCTGTTGGCGACTGCATGGACTGGTGGCAGAGCGGTATTCCCGCCTCCTGTTGCTGCTGTGTGGGTGTTGGTGGCGCCATCTGTGGACGGGTAGCGAAAGGTGAGTAAAGCTGTAGCCGAGACACGTACCATGGTGAGTTACCTGTTGTTGTTGGTGAGCTTGCTGCTGCTGCTGTTGGTGAGATTGCTGCTGTTGTTGTTGGTGAGATTGCTGCTGTTGGTGAGTCTGCTGTTGTTGTTGCTGGTGCAGCGGCTGTTAATAAAATAATTTCAGGGTTATTTAAATTTTTTGTTAGGAATACGTGATTTTTAATAGGTTAAGTTTTAAGAATATTTGTGTGTTTTCTTTATTAACAATTAAATGGATTTTGAG